ACGGAAGAGATCCGCCTTTGATCTCAACGCCCAACTCACACTTCGACGCCACGGTGCCCACAATCCTCGACCCACACTCGTTCCGTCGGATAACTTATTCGGGAACTTCATTTCCTCAATCAGCTTCCCTCTGGAACAGGCCAGGCGCGCCAGGTCACGCAAGAGAGGGGGCTTGGACCTTCACCAGTCTGATCAGGGATCTGGGCGATGAGATACGAGTCTCCATCAGCTTGCTGCCCCGCTCCCCATGCCGTTTCTGCTTTTTGCGTTGACGACATCCGGCAAATGACCACGGTCTGAATTTTCCTAACCAGTGGCGGGACACCGAAAATCCTACCGGCACGACAACAGGGGCGCCGCGAGAAACCACGGCCATCGATTGGCGGAGGTAATCATTGCACTCAATTTGGCTTGAAAATCACAGACGCAGATTTCATCGACCCCGCCACTGATTGACCAGCAATCCGGTGGCATCGGTGAAAAGATCGAGGACAGTGGCATGTTTTGCAGCACCACCGACGACTTTTGTCATACATGCCGCATCTCCGACTCTCTGACTCTGACACTCTCTTTTTACTTTCAATACTTCTCCATTCAAGTATAGTTGCCGCTCAGCCATTTCCAACCTGGGCGCCCCGCTCCAAGATGACGGACTTCTATCGTGACTGGTCTGCACGGCATCTCATTCCGAGACTTGGGCCTCTATACGAGTACACACGCCCTTTTCTCAATTGTTGTAAGTACACCGCAAGAAACCGTGGGGATTTTTCCAACAAGGTTTGTTATTCTTTGCCCTCCTGTGTCTCTGTTTCCCACCATTTCCTCGTCTTGGAGCGACACCTCCTTCTCTGCAACGCGATCAAAAGTGCTCCGGCTTCCTGAACCTGTTCTGTTTGACCATTTCGAGCCCATCCCATTCGACAGATCTCCTTCCCCCGCAATGTCGGATCCAGAAAAGCCCATCCCGCCAGTCGTCATTTCTCGATATCCAGACAGTTCCTACTCTTCCCCACAGACTCCCAATCACAATGAATGCTATTCACCCATTACTGAACAGTCTCCCACGTCTTCTGTCTCCAGATCCGAGTCAGACAATGATGAACGAGCCTTAACCCTCACAATTACACAAGCCTCCAGACAATCGGCCGCCAGAACGGTGACGAGAATAACTACTCATGGCACGGACCTCACACTAGATCCGTCCTTTGAGGTGGACTTTGACCCAGATGATCCTGGAAATCCGAGGAATTGGTCAATGGGGTACAAATCTTTTGCCATCTTCACGATATCCTTTGGCACACTGGGGGTGGTGATGTACTCGACCTCTTACACATCGGGCATGCAGGCCATGATGGAGGAGTTTGGTGTGAATTCGGAACCCATTGCCACTCTTGGTGTCACGGCGTACCTGTTCGGGCTGGCGGTAGGCTCTCTGCTGCTCGCCCCGATCGCCGAAACATATGGACGAAAACCTGTATATATTATATGCATGGCTTTGTACACCATCCTGGTCATTCCTGCAGCAATTGCTACAAATCTGCAGACTATCATTATTGCGAGATTCTTTGGGGCTGTTTTTGGAAGTGCCATGATTGCTAATGCTCCCGGATCCATTGCGGATCTGGTCTCGGACGAGTATCGCGCGACAGCTTTCTCCATCTGGTCCATCGGTCCCATGAATGGTCCTGTGGTTGGCCCAACGATTGGCGGCTTCGTCACTGAATACTTAGGCTGGCGGTGGACTAACTGGATAGCCATGATCTGGGCAGGCTGTGCCTTTGCACTACTGGTCTTTTCCAAGGAGACTTATGCCCCAGTCCTGCTACAGCGCAGAGCGAAGAACTTGCGAAAAGTCCATGACGATGACAGGTACTGGACCCGCTATGATATTCGGGTGGGATTTATCGAGCTGATGAAAATCAACCTCAAACGTCCGTTGTTGCTTGCAGTCCAGGAGCCCATTTGCATCTTCTGGAACGTTTACATATCGATCGTCTATGGTTCGTGGTTTTTCCCTTTTCTTGCCTTAGGGTCTTTGTTCCCGTCGTTGTCAACCACTGACCTTGCACTTCCCTAGGCATCCTTTATCTATGCTTCGTTGCATATCCCATCGTCTTCACGGAAATGCGGGGCTGGTCCACCGGTATGAGCGGCCTCTCCTTCCTTGGGATTGGCATTGGTACTCTTATGATCATTGCGAGCGCATCGCCCATCCGCAAGCTCATCAACTCGCACAAAAGAGACGAGGAAGGAAACGTGCCGCCTGAAGCAATGATGAGCATTGTCTGCATCGCCGCTGTCTTGATTCCTATTGGTGAATTGTGGTTCGCATGGTCCTGTTACCCGACCAAGATCCACTGGGCCGTCTCTATTGCAGCGGGTATCCCGTTTGGTTATGGCAACGGAGCCGTGTTCATCTATGCCGGGAACTACCTCGCATACAGCTATGGAATCTACGCCGCCAGTGCAATGGCAGGCAATGCCGTCATGCGATCTGTGCTTGGAGGGACATTGCCTCTGGCTGGACCGGCGATGTATCGCGCTCTAGGCCCTAACTGGGCAGGAACCTTGCTGGGCCTTCTTGAGGTCGTCATTATCCCGATCCCCTTCCTCTTCTACCGGTACGGTGGCCGCATCCGAGAAAAATCCACCTTGATTCGCCAGATGCGAGAAGATGAACAACGGCAGGAGCGTAAGCGGAAAAAGGCAGAGGAGAGGCTACGCATCGCGGTGATGTGCGGCGATAAAGAAGAGACAAAGGAGGCCCGGAACGAGCTGGTCAGGGTCAGGAGTCGTTTGGACGACGAGAGAAATCTGGAAGTGGCCGGGCAGGAGACGCTGAATTGCATCCAGGGACTAGGGCCCGGGAGAGAGACGGTCTAACATGGCACATCCGACTACCTCAGTGAGGAAGGGCGAGACCGAGATTGTTGAGTGAAAGCCAGGGCTCTGGACCATGTTGGTTTTTCCCAGGGCTCGCAGAGACAGAAGCATCAAGGTGTCGACGTTGCAACAGATTATGCACCTTCGAAATTCGAAGACGAACACATTGATGAGCACTGGATTATGATACGGGGCGTACAGATGACGCCCGCGACGATTTCGACGACCACAACAACGGGAACGAACATAGATACATGGGGGTTATGGTTACCACCACCCTATTCGGGGATTCCGAGTTTAGAGATGGGGTTTACGCATAGATCCATTCCATTTACGATTCAGCATGGCGTTTTTGGCGCACAGCCTGGGTAAAAAAGAGCTTGGGAGAGAAACAAGTTGGGATGGAGTTCTACGATGTAGGTAGAGAAATGGGTTTGGTTCCGGTTCGCTTTTAATGGTGTGTACGAGAGAGTCCGAAGCAGGAAGATCGATGTTGGATTTTTGTGGAGGAGGTACTGGCATGGTATTTGTTGATAGAACTATTGATGTATCTATCATAGATACCTACTCAGTAGGTATGTAAGGGATGGCTCACTACCACCACAACCGCTAGATAGGATATTACAAAAGCCAATAGGAGAGAAACCCGCATTTTATCTCTCACCTCTTATGGAATCGAGACAACCACTATTGTCCATATCGATCATACTTCATTCATCATAAGACATGAATTGCCTAGTCGAAGCATGTGGACTGTGATTGTGATGTGTGTATGTCACTCATCAACTCAACTATTCATCCCCTTTCCACACAGTGAATCTTCAAACCCTACCACTCTCCCTACCGACTGCACGATGAGAACCATATTAGAAATTGGAGGCCGCCAGCGACTAGCCTTGCATGTAGTCATCTATCGCCGGCCACAACGAGAGCGTCGCGCCCTGTGGTCAGCACCCATAGTCCGAAATAATGGGATCCAGCGCCACCTTTTCCTTAGGCCTCCTCAACTGCCACCGCCGCCTCTCAGTTCCCGCGCCGCGTTTCATGCCAATTATGAAGTTTCCTGAAACGGCCATGTTCAGCTCTCTCTGTCGAGGTTGCCGCGTTCTCCTGCGTATACACCGACAATCCGTTGAGATGTTGCACAAGCTCAGGCGTGACTGTCGCTCGCTGGAGCAGAGAGAAAAGGGCGCCGTTCTATCTCCAGTCTGTTACTCAGACAGATCTCTTAGGGATGGACACTGGAGTAATATATCGACATGGAGAATACAGAGCCAGACAAAACGAATCCCCCCTCAAAGACCAAAAAGACAGACACCACCGGCATTCCACAGCATCTACAGGCAAGAGATGATGGACACCCTGAAGTTCGAAGAGTTGGAAGTTGATGTCGAGAAACCCAGACTTGTTCTCGGAAAGGGACACTTCGCTGTTCAGGAAGCCATCCTTCATTTCCTTGCACCTTCTCATTCGTGCGTGGAGGCTGAACGGCCCGGACGTGAGAGACATGGTCGCACGCTTAAGTCTCGAAGGCCTCTCTGCGAAGGCTTTCGAGAATACAAATGAAAAGAGAGTGCGCAAAGTCGAGGATGTTCACGACATGTTTGAGGAGAGTCGGATCGGTGCTTCCCGGCCTATCCTGGTGGTGGGCATGTCATGTTCGTCGAGCAGCCTCGACTATGACCACGAATAACTTTAAATCGTACTGCAGGTATCTTGTAAAGAGAAGATCTCTATCCAAGTTCAAGACGCAAGCGCCTCGAGAGCGCCAGCGGGATATAGTCCCACCGACCCACAGAGCCAGGACTCCTAAGATCTACTTACTCATAGTGGTGTCATCTAATTGTAAGAAATATAAGTGTACTCCAGGTGGCAGTCACTTCATCGCTTATGAACACTCAGACTTACGTAGCTGGGAGGTGATGGAGCCGTGAAAGACGTGGCAGACCTGATGTTGAGTGTGGCTTAACAAGTAATCGGAATAACTTCGGTCATGTTATTGCCAAGATTTATCTGCGCTAACCCAAGTTCGGAGACCGCACATTTTCTTGCACTTCCACCTCAACATCTACGTTTGCTTTCAATCAACGACAAACTTCAGTCTCGACACCGCCAACATGCCCACGAGACTGACCAAGACGAGAAAACAGTGAGTCTACTCCCTTCGAATGCTCCCCACCATGTCGATACCATTACGAATGGCGCCTCGCACAACGTTGAGTCGGTCAACGATCAAAACTGCGCTTCCGACGACCTCGATCCTGCAATGCCTGGGTCAGGCTTCGCACGAGTCGAACGCACCGCCGACATATCGAGTCGCCTCGCGAACAGCGCTCATCCTGATTTCACTTGCAATATCATTCAAACACTGAGGGACGTGGCTAACTGTTGAATTTTCAGCCGCGGCCATGTGTCCGCCGGTCACGGTCGTGTTGGAAAGCACCGCAAGCATCCAGGTGGTCGCGGTCTCGCCGGTGGTCAACATCACCACAGAACAAACATGGATAAATACCATCCTGGGTACGTCTGCCGCTTGTAAAATTCGGGTCTGGAGAGGAGAGCGGTCTCGTTGGACCAATTCTTCCCCAGCTTGATGTTTTGTGGCCCGAATGAGTGCTAATTGCTGGACTAGTTACTTCGGAAAGGTCGGTATGAGACACTTCCACCTGCTCAGAAACCACTACTGGAAACCCTCGATCAACCTCGACAAGGTCAGACTCTTCTCTTGTCATTGACATTGAAAACAAAAACCTAACATGTTTCTTTCAGCTCTGGTCATTGGTCCCCGAAGAGACCCGCGAAGCCTACGTTTCTGGCAAGAAGACCGATACCGCTCCCGTTCTTGACCTTCTCCCTCTCGGATACTCCAAAGTTCTCGGCAAGGGCCGCATTCCCAAGATCCCGATTGTCGTAAGAGCAAGGTGGTTTAGCAAGGAGGCCGAGCGAAAGATCAAGGAGGCTGGCGGTGTTGTTGAGTTGGTGGCATAAGCGGCGTCTTTGATTCTGGGCCATGTGGCATGCTCGAAGTGAGAGTGCACGCTTTGTATGGTCGAATAACGAGGTACTCGATGATGGTTCTGCCAACAGAGCAAGGACGACAGATGGCTCGGCCTGCAGTATGATGTGCAAGATCTACGGAACAGTGTCTCATGAAGAGGCGCCGTGGGACTCGAGAAAAGTGGAAAATATTCAAAAACGAGATCAATACGATTTCCATCCAGCGCAGCTACGTTAGTTCCACCCATGGTCGTGGCGGTGCAGGAAGAGATAAAATTCATTACAACGTTCTTCCCTAAAATTGCCATCAAAGGACCCTAGTTTGTTGTTCCCTCTGTTCGCTTCATTTTGTCGCATGCCCAGACCAGATTTGTTCTGTGGGTCACGAAAATTGTCGGCAAAGTTGCCCATGTACCAACATCAGCCCCGTGAGAGCGCGTAAATGGCGACGCGACGGGGGCGTGTACCAGCGTGTCCGTCGTAGAACCTCGCATCTCTGTCGCTCTCCGCATTCTGATTGCAGCTTGATATGTTCGCATGGCTGACGGAATGCCCGTTTCTGATTTGACTGTACAATCTCTGGAGCTATCATGGACGCATCGACTCCTCTCCTCGACACACCCAAACGAGCATCTCTGCAGTCTCAAGCAGACGCTCTTCGCATCGACTTGAAAGAATATGAGCGGTCATTCGCTGCGAGCCACGGCGGCCGCAAGCCAGGCAAGGGCGACATCAAGGCGGACGCTGTCATTGCAGCAAAATACAAAGAATACAGTCGAGTGCGCGATGTGCTTGCTGGAAAACGCGGCATTGATGCATTGAACACACCTCGCCGACACCAGAGTACTCGACGGCACGGACGGTCGGACAGTGCAATTGCAATTGGCCTGACACCGCATCGAAGCCGGAAGAGCTTTTCTCCTTCAAGACCGCAATGGCATCCCAACGACATCGACCCTTACGACCCGCCCGCATCGATATCACCGAAAGTGATACCCCGGGCCATTGGACCGACTCCGCGAAGAGATGGCACGGTGCTGGGCATATTCGACCTGCTCTCAACGTCAGGGTCTAGGAAAAGCGTTGGAAGCACACCGGGAAGCAGAAAGAGGAAGATTGATGCTCTTTACGATGGAGGTGTGGACCTTGACTCGCAAGAGCTGCCGGTGGCCCAAACCCCGAGCCAGAAACCCAGACCGTCGAGTTATACTCGAGATGGAGGTCTTCTGGCTACCACGCCGTCAACAAGAGTGTCCGCTGGAAAGCACTTGCACTCCAAGACCCCGATCAGCGAAGGCAGAAAATTCATGCTGGATCACTTCTTCGCAACCCCCAGTGCAATCAGATTTGCGACCATGATCAGTGGTGATGATGAGGCAGATGCTCCGATACAGAATAAAACTCCGCTTCGTGACTTTGTCCTCAAACCCACTCCGACGAAAGACAATGGCCCGGGCAACGCGACAGCGAACGCCAACGACTTTACCCCCCCTTACTTGAAGCGGACTTTCTCCTTCAAAGAGAGACTTTTCGCAGCCTCTGGAGCCTCTGGAGGCATGTCGAGTCCCACATCCACTAGACGAGGCCCGCGACGAAGCCTAGGACATGTCAAAAGCGCGCCGAAACCGTTGAGTCAGATCATAGCAGACCTGGAGCAAAGCAGGCAGGAGACACAACAACGAGACGACAATGACGATGAAGATGACCTTGACGCACTGAGGGAAATGGAAGCCAATGAAGTCAACGTCCTCGTCAATGATAGTCAGCCCGTAGATGGAGTTTCGACTGTGATCGCCGCAGGAGAGGACCCGGCACCGAGGGTATGGAAGAAACGGGGACAGAAAAGGACAACAAGAAGAGTCATGATAAGACCGGTGAAAATGAAACCATCTGCAGCGCCTCGGTTTGTCGCTGATGACGAGGATGAGGACGATGATGAGTTTGAGGCTCCGCGTGTCGACGAGTCCGAAAGTGAGGATGAACTGGCTGTTGCCGCTGAGGCTGCTTGCGTAGGCCTAGCGGGTTCACATACGGAACATGTTTCTGTTGAAAATGAAGAATCTGATGACGGCGGATTCGAGGAACCAGACATATCCGACGATGCGGACGAACACCTACCTGTGAACGATGGACCTGCCACCAAGAAGAAAGTGACAACAAAGTCAAAACGCACATCATCTACCACCAGACTAGAACCACAACCATCCCTCCACCCCGATGGCTTCGTAAAGACCAAATCCAAGTCCAAACCCTCGAGAAATCTCACGACAAGCAGCACGGCCGGTCGAGACGAGAGTACGACAACCCGCAAGATCAATCCGAACGCCTACTCGCACATGAACTTCCGGAGTCTGAAGATCAAGAACAAGAATTCGAGGGCCAAGAGAGCAAGCGGAGGGGGAGGCAGGTTCTCGCGAGCTAGGAGGTGAGGTGTCGATCGAACAGGACTGGCTGGTGCGCCGCGTTGTATGGCCAACCCACACCTTTTGCATTTTGCATTTGGTTCGGATGCGGGTGCCTGCTAGAGGTTCTGTCTGTCTATCTATGTGGCTGTCTCTCTGAAATGCTCAATGCTATATATACGCGCTACAATGATTCGATGCCTCGATGTGAATGTTGTCGTGTACGAACAGATCATGTGGACGAACGAGGAACAGCCGACTGTTGTGCTCGAGGCCACCAGGGGACGTTATGTCCGACCCGATCCTGTCCAAGGAGTGATCGAGGACAGACTGACTGAGGTACATATATACATACACTCTCTAAGTAGGTAGTGAATGAATGGAGTGGAAATGAGACCAAGTCAATGAGTCAATGAGTGAATGAATGACAGTTATACATGGCTTTTTTTTGGGATTCCGTTTGTTTCATTGATCGCCACCTCGCTGTATCCATCTCTATCTCTCTCTGTATATATGTGCATGTGTGTCTGGCGTATATCTAAGTCGACTGGTTCAGCCGTCTACCCTTTCCACATGCTCGTACGTGGACAGAGATAGAGACAGAGACAGATGATGTAGGTATACACTCGTCGTTTCTCAACTAGAGTTCCTGGCCCAGTCTCACCAACTCGGATAAAAAGTCCTCGCCATTGACCAGTTCGGTGCTCCCGTAGACGACCCTCCTCGCCCGGGGAGCATTGGCGCCGACTCCTGACCCCCCGGCGGCTCCCAAGCCGCTCGTCCTCTTGACCCAGTCCTGCAGATTGCCGTACTCGTCCATACTGCCTCCTCCCACAGTGAAGACAATTGCCTCTGTGTATCCTTGTCTCCTTTGGCCGAAGCTGGGATTCACACCTGCACCTCCGGACTGGCTACCGAGACCTCCCTTGCTGTCTCTCGACGGCGGAGTCGACCCGCTTGCTGTCCCAGGTATTCCTCTAGCATGTGCACTCCTGGGATCAAAATATAGATATCCCTCCGTCATGGCGATTGCACTGGAACTCGCGGCGGGCGGGTCCATGATCGACTCTACTATCTTGGTCACCGTTAGATCCCTGTTCGCGGGGAGAAAGTTTTTCACTCCGGACACGAGAGCTTCGAGGTTGACGTTGCTGAACGTGTTCCCGAGAGCAGTGGAGGAGAGCTTTTCGGTGAAATTCTTGGAGAGTGAGGAGAGGCCGCCAAATAATGGCGCCTGGGATGACGGCTGTTGCTGAGATGGTGCTGTGGAGCTCATCATTGTTCCTCGCGTCTCCAGACGTACGTTGGAGATGTGTTTTATTGCCGTCACGGCATCGCCTACGCCAGCAGCCGTGAGTGCAGACTCGAATTCTGATAGCTCGGATTTTGAGGGCTCCCTATCGACGCTAAGGTACCAGATGATAAATATTCTCAGCTTGTCTAACGGGTTGTTGCCCTTATCGTCCGACTTGATGAGACTGAGCATTTGGTCAGCAGTTTGTTTGGTGATGGTCTCTTCCAACTGGAAGAAGTTGTCAAGTTGGCGGTCCTTGATGCCCTTGAGCAGGGCGGTCGCGATGTTCATGTGCATGTCCAGCGTTGCTTTGCGCTCTCGCAACTCGGGCAACAGTGTTATCGCTGCTTTCAAGTGAGCTGCGGAGGCTGAACTGTCGTTGAGATCTTCAATGCTATTCACGCCTGTTTTCCTCGTCACCTCCTCCGCGTCCGTCTTGTACTTTGTGAGTTCTTTGTCAATGTCTTCTGCGACTTGAGGAAAGGGAGCGCTTGCATTGCGCGCCCAGAAAAAGTCGCTCGCGTTAAGGTCATAAGCTCGGGGCTTTGTGGTCGGATCTCCTTCGTCGGCAACGTCCACCGTGATTCGGTTGAGGTGCATTTTCAGGACATCATGTACCAAGGACTGGTATGTCCATGAATGAGACAGCATCGGAACTAGATCGATGTTCCGGTCAAGAATTATCAGAACAGGTCGTGAGGGTGCAGAGTATAGATTGGCTGCAGAGCCTTTTGACGAGAACAAGTTATCTTTGGAGTTGAGGACATGATCTCTCAGTTTTCTGTCCAGCTTGGTGGCGATCATCTTAGCCAGCTCTGTTTGAGGGCATCGTATAATGGGCACTGATCCCATTGTGACGCTGACGCTGAACAGCCCGCTCACAATCCTGTCTATGGCTGCATCCTGGGCCTCAGCTTCTGCTTTGGCACTATTAAATGTCCAATACGACTCTTTTCCCATTGCCAAACTGAACAAGTCGGGTTCAGCGACAACAAAATTCAGGTATTGGTCGTACACTTGGGCGATGGAATCTGCTGTATTTGTGGATGCGATCTGAGCGGCAAATTCTTCAAGGAGTGGCCGAGATATCGAGGAGATGAAGTTGACATAGGCTGGAGAGTAGAGGCCGCGGGCAAGGTCAGAGCATATGAGCTGGATATTGACCGGGGTGGGTTCGACGAGATACAGGACAGGCACGTCTGGTATGGGATAGCGAGGTGAGTTTATGTTTCTGTTGACCAGTCAGTGGTTGCACTGTCCTAGGCCACTTGTTCGCAAACTGACAGATGTATTGTTACTCCCTTACTGCGCAGGTCATTGACGCGTAGAACACTGCTGATTATGTCTCGTCCAAGATTGTCAAACACAAGAACCTTCCATATTGGTTCCCCATTCTCGTTGAGAAGCGAGGCAGCTGGAGGACTGGCGGTGACATCGCCATTTGAGGCAGATTCGTGGTCGTGGTTCAGGCTCAGTATGCGCTCAATAGAAGCTGAGACGTGTGAGAATACTCAAGTATGGAGTAATTCGTCCTGGAAAGGCTACTCACCTATCTGACGGTCCCGCAGAGTCTGGGTGCGGGATGCCATGACGGTCGAGGATGAAGGTCCGCAGATTGTAGGGTTTGGTGGAGTTGATGAAAGCCGACTCTCATCTTGCACTTGTAACGCCCAAGTCTAACAAGGACAACATTGCATCATGGAGAAGCAAAGTCAGTATTGAGCACCGAGTACCTTGTACTTTGTATAAACAGCCTCTGGAGGCACCGTGGCCCATGGCCCTGGAACAAAAAGTGGCCGCAACTGGGCATGATGCGAGACAACCAGTCACCAAACCAAAACAGGCTTAGTCTGGAACTGCGGGTAGCGCTTTAATCTCAGAGGTTGAACTTGGCCTTCCATCTTCTCCATCTCTCCATCTCTTCCCTGTCTCACTCCCCTTCTCTTATTCCTTCATCACTTCATCACTTCATCAATCCCATCAAAAAACCACTTTTTATCCCACGAATACATCCCCCTTTCCTCCTTCCTCTTTTCACTCTGTAATCTTGTTCCTTGGCACCCTCGGACAGTGCTCTGTAATAAGTGACATTGAATGGTTCTCCATTTGGCATCACCGCATGGGCTGGAGACGGGGTGTGTTGACGTTGGCGTGACTGTGTGTGGCGCGTTCGCTCATCATCTAATATTGATTTGAATCCGCCCAAAAGACACACGTCCTTTTGAGCCTCTTTTTATACCACTCATCAGTGACGGGGGTGGATTGAGTGCATTAGTGCTTGTTTCCTTCAAACTGGTCCATACTAGAGAAGAGAGTGAATTTTTTTTCTTTGAGAGACTGGGAGGTTGGCCCTTTGTTGGCCTTGTTTGCACGGTTCGAAGTGCGAGCAAAATCTCAGAAGAAGGGGTTGGTTGTGCCATTTCTCTCTCCCTTTGTCTTTAGGGAGGGAAACGGGCGGTGGTGACAAGGCACGAAAGGCGGAGGGATCAAAGGAGCGCCCAGGTGGCCAGGCGGCAGGGCGGCCCTACACAGAACAGAAACCGTCCTCACCCAAAGAACAAAAACAAACCCACCTCGTTTTCCAGCCTGAGAGTTCTGGATTGAACAGCGCGAGAAAAAAAGAAAATCCCTCCCAAAAAGATAACACTAACCCCTGTGTACCCCGGAACGACAAATTAAATTCTACGGTCTCTACTACAAAACAAAAGTCCTCAAAAAAGCCTCAGTTGTGTTGGTCAGGGCACGGCAGTCGCCGCACTTCCACTTACATTGCCCTTTCTATGCAGCCGAGCGCGTGTTGCGGCCTGTGAGTGGCAACTTTTCTCGGCATAAGCCCAAACAAACCTTTTGCTCCCTTGCAAGCCAGAGCGACTCAGCGCGAACTCCTCGCCTTGACGGAGTATTTTGGGTTTTTTTGTCAGACCGAACGGCTTTCATTCACGTGATTTGCCGGAACAGCCACTGAAGTCACGGCCGCAATCACCGCAATTAACCGCTGGACGATCTTTGACCACGTGACTGCGCCCCTAGATCCTCTTGGGCTCTAGCCAGTGTGTCGATCTTCCCATCACCATGAATCCATCAACCAACCCGTCACTCAATGGCGCGCAACATGCAAAAGGTCAATCATACGGCTTGCTTGATGGCATCCAAGCCTATGCAGGCGTCGATAGTCTTCCCAATGGAGAAGATCTGTCTCGCTTTTTTGACCCCGAGCTGTTCGATTCCACCACCCTTGGCAGCAGCTATACTCAACCCTCGATATCAATGTCGCATGACTACGATCCCAATGCAGGCCGACAATCGGGCACGCCAGATGTACAGCAGTATAATGTCGCCCAGCGAGCATTTCCCCACCATCAGTACACTCAACCATACTTCGACTCTCGCCAGATGACACAACCCAACTATGATCCCCGATACTATTCGCAACCCTCTCCTTCGCCAGTGGGGTTCGATGGCGGCTATTCGTATCAGACTCAGATGGGCTATCCCAACCAACAATTCAGTGCCCAGCAGTTGAGTATTCCGCAACGACAGACTCCGACTCCTTCACAGAACTACGCTCCAAGGCAACAACAACAAGCACAGCCACAACAGACACCGTTCGTCAACATGGGTCCGCGTGCGCAGCTATCACATGTCCAGGTGAGTGACCGACGCTCCATCGTGAGCAGCGCGCATTGTTTGCTAACACTGGCCCAGAATAACGACGTGATGCGCTTCGGAACCTTTCAAGATCAAACTCATCAACCCTCGAATCATTTTGTGGATCCCTCCTTGCTGAACTCGAATCAGATGATGCATACAAGTAGGGGACATGTATCGCATGCTTCCAAGTCATTAGCTGATAATAGTCTGCCAGACAGCAACCATGCCTTCCAGACGCAGCAAGCTTTCATGCCCACTTCATACTTCAAGGCGGGTACGACGGTCGATCCAAGATCCTTACAAGGAAACCAACCCCTGCAGCCTATGCCATCTGTCACGTCACAAATTCCACGTCCAGGTACCGAGGTCGATCCTAGTCGTCAACGTCAGCTAATGGGGGCAGGGATCGCTATTCAGCCAAAGCCCGAACAGGACGCGAAGACGACGGCTACGAAAACCACAGATGAGCCCCAGAAGAAAAGAGGTCGTCCGAGAAAGGATGCATCTGCAAAGCCCGATGGACATCCCTCAGGATCCGAAACGGATTCCGATGACGATCTAGAGATCGAAGATGAGGAGCCTCCCGAAGTGACCCCTGCCCCACTGAGCGTATCAATGCCCACCGATGAACGAGGAAAAGCTCTCTATCATGCGGTGCAAGCTGTTTGGAGCCCTCGCAACAAGTCGGCTTCTCCCGAGAAGATCCGTGGTGGCATTGCCGGCTTTGGTGATGTTGTGCGAGGCTTGAGAGACGCCTGGAAGACGAAGAATGAAAGCCTGAGAAAGGCAGAGCTTCCTGCTTCTCCCACTGCTGCAGATGCTCCAAGGTTAAAGGAAGAAGTTGCGCGCTATCGCCAAGTCATGGAAACTGTCATGATGAGGTCTTTGCTATATGGTCATCCAGCCATCGTTAATAGGTATGTTGCCTTCCCTGCCACTCTGTCGTGTCCGTGTTTATGTTGCCCTGGCCACTTCTGTGTCGACATGGCCTCATGTCGCCCAGACTCCTTCCATAGACGCAAAGCTTTCTGCTGCTTCTGCCTTAGTTGCAAGCACAGCTCGATGTCTCAGGTCCGGGATTCGAAGACGCGGATGTGCTTGTTCCTTTGGCAGAATGGTTGTATTCATAGCTCTGCATCCATAGATAGTCTACAAACCGCCTCTTTTCGTGATTCGTCTCGTATGCAAGGGCCTTGGGAACACCATAGCATATATGTGATCCGATCACACTCAATAACGTTTACTGATAATCGCCTTTAGACTAGGCGAAAACCAATTCACAATGTCGGCCTTGTACTCGTTCATGCTCGACAGGTTCAACGCAGCCGATTACGATAGCACCCTTGTCAGCTCCATCCTCAAGGTAAGAGGGCTCTTCACCTTTGCGGTACCCTGCTAACTCGATTCAATTAGTTCGTCGTCAAGTTTGGCACTCTTGATACTGAGATGCTGGAGATGACGAAGCTGTCGAAGATTCTCCAACGTCTGACCAAAAAGGCTACGAGTGATGTCAAAACGTTAGCACAAGCCGTTCTCGATAATGCTGTCGCGGCTACGGCGAAGAAAACTTCCACCTCTCATGACAAGAAGGGCGACAAGCCAATGTCACCTAGATCTGTTGGGAGCCCAGCAGATGGGACACGAAAGGAGGGCACCGGTGGACTCAAGCGTCTCCGGGAAGGTGATGGGTCTGCCCAGCCGGTTCTGAAAAAGGTCGCAAAATCGATTCCGCATTCCTCAAAACCTCTCGCTCTCCAAAACGCCGAACGTAGAAAGGCGCTGGAAGCCGCACACACGGCCAAGGCTGGAGAGAAACCAACTCCTACACCAGCAGGGACAACAGCTCCTTCAGCAAAGGCAAAAGTTGCTGTGGCCGCCCCTCCGAAATCTTCAATCTTTGCGGCTTTAGCATCAGCACCTAAAAAACCAGGCACCTCCAACGCAGAACGAGCCGCTGCAGCTGCTAAAGAGAAGGCCTCCTCCTCCTCGTCTCCTTCTCTGGCTTCTACCCAGTCAGTGAAGAAACTGAACACAGGGAAAGAGTCCCCGCCGCGGACTGGTGGTTCTGCCCCTGTCGCAAAGGCCGCGACCGCATCGTCCTTCCTGGGATTGCTCGCTGATATGGAGAAAAAGCCTGAAAAAGAGGCAAGGAAAGAAGACGGAATCCCGAACGAGACTGAAGAGCAAAAGGCGAAGAGACTGCGTAAAGAAGCTCGCAGGAAACTTCGCGTCACCTGGAAAGCCGATGCGGAACTGGTGGAGACTCGCTTGTTCACCCATGATCCAGACGAAGAGCTTGACCAAGGCGACCGTTTGAAACGCGACGCTGGAGACACTGGTCGTGAAGGTGAAGCGCTTAAACTCCACAAGAACTTGGAAGAGCTCGAGGACGAAGAGGACGAAGACTCTTTTGAAGAATTTGAGCCATATACACCACCGTCGGAAGTGGACTTTAGTTACCTTGAAGATGCTACCCTTGGCGACGATTCACCACACAAAATTAATTCACTTAAGTTCGGCGGGATCATGAAGCCTGACAGCCCGAGCAGTGAAGCGCAAAATAAATATGAGCAAGACACACTCATGGCACTCTACACTTCCAAGGCCGACCGTCCGCAAACCCCAAAGGAGCCAGATGAAAGTAAGGAGGAGGATGAAGGCGACTTCGAGCCTGCTGAACCCGAGACTCCCTTCGGCGAGCCCAATGAGATGACGCGACGACGAGAGACGGAGTATCTCGCACGAAAGGTCCGAACACAACCTGCCACTGATCTTGCGGCACAGATTCAAGCCATGTCTGCCCCACAGATATCTCAACAGCAACCAGGAGCCATTCCGCCGGAGCTTCAACGTGCTCTAAGCATGTTGGGTCGATCGACTCAGCCGAGCCAGCCGACCACAGCGCCGCAAGCTGCCCCGGGTGCCAATGTGAACTTGCAGGCGATCCTCCAGACAGTCCTCGGCAACCAATCGCAAGCGCAAACCCAACAACCTCAGTATCTCGCCGTCAGCCAAGCCACGGCATTAGGACCAAATCTAGGCGCCCTCTGGGCCTCGATGCAACAAGGCGCTCAAGCCGGAACATCTGCCAGTACGCTTCCTCTGGGATTGGCTGGAAACCCTAGCCCCTACGTCGCTAACTTCGACGATGCTTCTCGCAAGCATGGCCGTAGCGACTCCAATGACAACGACAACGACAATGGCAGAAAAGGAGGAACCAAGAAGAAGAAGGGGGAGTCCAAACCTTATCTCTATAAGACCCAAACGTGCACCTTCTGGGAGCAAGGCAAATGTCTCAAGGGTGATTCTTGCACATATCGACACGGCGATGACGACGACAGCTAAGTCGGCTGGCTTTCCGGGGGGGGACTTCATACTTACACCACTGTACACTGTACACTACTAACATGTTACGGGGCTATGAACTTTTTTGCTGAGCAACTGCGACAACCGACCTCTTTTTTCCCCATCATTTCTCCTTTTAAAAGCGATTTCAAAATTCCAGGGAAGCAGGCAGGCACGTATGTGGATGACAATCAGGTTACGGTCGGATAGAGTGCTGGCTTCTCTCATGTCTCAAGGGCGCAAATCTACCTATTTCTCACCGTCATATAGCATTTCGGCTGGAGTCACACGGTGGCCAGATCCATGGCTCGAGTTCTGGCAGGGTTTGGTAGAGAAGTGATGCAAAGCTGCTTTCAATCGCATGTGTTCAAGTTTGCTGTTCTTTTCCCTGTCTTCCATTCTAGTAGTCGGGGCGACAGTAACAGGTCGCCGTGAAGGGGTTTAGGAGGTATACGAAATACGAGGTAGATGTACCTACCTTTTAGGTAGTCGCACGCTCAGTAGGTATCTACATGTGCAGGAGCTTGGCACTGCGTACCCCGTAGACGTTATTAAGTGGAAAGTGGGAGAAATAATAATGACGTGGGACTCGCGGGTCGCAGCTTCCACTTGCGGCTTTGGTGTCTGCGATTTCCTGGCAGCCCTGGCCACCACTTGCTTCCACCGGTCTGTTTCACCTAGTCACCATTGATTTGGTCTGCATTTCCACGGTCACCGGCCTCTTTCTGCCTGTAGACAATAGAATAACTCATTTTCTTGACATAGACTGCGAGAGCCACACAGTACATTACACGTCGAGCCAGCTCTTCTGTCTTCCTCTGTGCTTTCATTTGACAAGGAACATTCGAGAACAACAGGCGGTCTTCTACGCAGGCAGTAACCAAACCCTCTACATACTTGGCCACAAGGGGAGGGCCACAACAAACTAGACGAAGTGGTCAAATCGAAAACATTGCACGTCAAAACATGTCGACTGCACTCGTGAGCGCGGACGACGATGTCCTTGACCCCAGTCTCCAAAACCTCATTGACCAGAAGTCGCTACGATGGATTTTCGTGGGTGGGAAGGGTGGTGTAGGCAAGACAACAACGTCGTGCTCGCTGGCAATTCAAATGGCCAAAGCTAGGAAATCGGTGCTCTTGATTTCCACCGATCCCGCTCACAACTTGAGTGACGCCTTTAGCCAGAAGTTTGGCAAGGACGCAAGACTGGTCGAGGGCTTTACAAACCTCAGCGCCATGGAAATCGACCCTAACGGCTCCATCAACGATCTCATCGGCGGCGGCGGGGATGAGGCTCAGGAAGCCATGGCAGGACTGGGTGGAATGGGCAATATGATGCAAGATCTGGCGTTTAGCGTATGCCACGCCTTCGTTCGGTTGCGAAGTCAGGTTGCTAATTTAGACAGATTCCTGGCGTTGACGAAGCCATGTCCTTTGCCGAAGTGCTCAAGCAAGTCAAATCCCTCTCCTACGAAGTCATCATCTTCGACACGGCTCCCACCGGCCACACTCTTCGCTTCCTACAATTCCCCACGGTCCTGGAGAAGGCCCTCGCAAAGATTTCCCAGCTCTCTACTCAATTCGGTCCCATGCTGCAATCAGTTATAGGAGCAAGAGGAGGTCTTCCGGGAGGGGCATCACTCGAGGAATTGACACAGAAGCTTGAGTCGCTTCGAGAGACCATTGCCGAAGTCAATGGCCAATTCAAGAATCCCGACATGACCACCTTTGTCTGCGTCTGCATCGCCGAGTTCCTTTCATTGTACGAGACGGAGAGGATGATTCAAGAGCTGGCAAATTACCATATTGATACCCATTGCATCGTCGTCAATCAGTTGTTGTTCCCGGAGAAAGGCAATGAATGCAAGCAGTGTAACGCTAGGAGGAAAATGCAGAAGAAATATCTCGACCAGATTGAAGAGCTGTACGACGAGTTCAACGTGGTCAAGATGCCGCTCCTGACGGATGAAGTGCGCGGGGTGGAAAAGCTGAAGAGGTGAGCATTTCGCGATCTTGACGCCATCATCTCCACAAACTGACAGCCGCATAGTTTCTCGGAAATGCTGATTCATCCCTATCAACCGCCATCATGAGATCAAGCCCAGGGGTCAGTAGTGATGATAGACACAAAACTCGAGTTCCAAACTTTGCGCTGGGGGCCAAATAAAAAGCTCAATGCACCCGCGCTCTGGTGCGGACCAAATGCCAACATTGATTCAACGCCCAGACATCTGACACGAGCCCAACTCGGTAGATGATTCCTTTTCTGTCTGATGGCCTGAGGGGTCTAGATGGATTATTTGACATGTTTGGGAACCTGGGACCCGGTCGAGCCTGATTGAATGAGGAGCAGCGCCAGCCCGTACTAACGCCCCCCCGGTTCTGATCTGCGACGACTTAGCCGTCGTGCGCCTGACGTACTCTGCATGCTTTGGCCTTGCAATCCAGTGGACAATCAAAAGCCTCCGCACCCTCGTTTGTCAAATGTTATGCAAGCAGTCGACCTGCCATTGGATCACGAAAGCCGCGGTTCTGACCGGACAATAACCCGCGGGCCAGGGCTTCAGTTCGCCGCACATGTGCCTTACTCATCGCACCAGGGGCCAGAAGGTTATCGTCGGGCAGGGCTGCTCGTCGGCTCTGGCTTTCCGACTTGCGACTTAAGGAAATAGGCTGCTGTGGCTGAGTCGTTAAGTCGCTGAGAACAGAAACTGCACTAAGGGCTCTGTCTCTGCCCAATCACTCAGTCCGTTTTCCCATCTGCACATCGTGGTTCTGTCCTACAAAGCCCAAATAGGATTATGGTCCAACCAGCCTTGTCCACACGTTCATGGTTCACGATATGGAGTACGAGGTCCAGCGGAAGTGTAATCTCAAAATGCATCGGTTGTCCCCTTCGCAGCTTAAAAAATCCGAAGTCTGCCGCCTCGAACAAAAGGTCCCTGGACTGTGTGCGAAGTATATTCGGCCGTACTGTTGCGAGGTGCGACATTTACATGGTCCACGGCCTTGTTGACAATTTCCAACGTCTTCACTTCGGTATCGCGCTGGGCCGAATCGCATTTTTATCCCAGGCTTTGCTCACATATGCTTGATTGATCAAAGTGAATACCACTGCTGCGCCACATGTATGCTCCCCAAGGACAGGATTTATAACCGTTCTCCTTCCCAGAATGTACGACTCCCAGGGGGTGGCAAGCTCACCAATCCATCATCTTGGGCTCAATGCAGAAGAGTCTAGGATCGACCCACACACGACGTCTTGCAGTCTGAGGTGCAGTTTACGCCGCTCCAGTCTTCATCAGCCGAAAGCCGGCATGGCGGAACAAGACCAGGATGACCGCCGGCCAGATCAACGCCCGCCAGCGTATACCGGACCTTTCCTATTTGTTAACAAGAACGCCACAAATCTTAGGTCCAGGCAGAGGGAGGAGGTGTTTGCAGTGCGGAGCCATGCCATGCAGATTGCCAGGAGATCGAGGAAGCCATCGTCCCAGACCAAAGCAACGCAGCGCGAAAGCCAGGCACACCCCGAGTCAGCGACACCTGCAAGTCCAGTAGCTCAAACCGCTGTTCCCAGTCCAACAGCCGAGCCAATTCCATCGATCCAAGAAATTTTGGAGCAGCAGGCGAGAGGAGTACTCCAATATCAGCAGAGACAGTCTCAGAGACGCCAGCCAGACCAATCTCGAGGCCATCCAGCCACGCATGAATTCCCAGCCTTGTCCTCCAGACCCTCGACTCTCCCGCTGTCGACTTCCAACCTTCTTCCAGCTGAATATGCCGCCTCTTTAGCGCAACTGAGCACCGCTGCATCGCCCACCTCACTGATTCCAACCGGCGCAACAGACCCCAATGTGGCCGGACCATCGTCTCCTGACACTTTTTTCAACTCGGTCCTGCAGTTCTGGCGACTGTGCTACATGTCCAACTTTTGGCCCGCACACATCTACTTCAACCCTTCACACACGGCGGTCCAGTTCACCGACGGCTGGATTCGAAACATGGTCATCAATAATCCGGCCATGCTGCACGGCCTTTTTTCTGGCGCGCTCAGTTACATCACAAACTATCTTCCTCCCACCGACAACACACCGATGCTGTGGGCTAGGGCCATCCATCATTATGGAAAATGTCTTGAAGAAACCCGGGTTCAGCTCGCCCAACCAGGTATCAGTTCTGAAGCAGCCCTAAGTCTGATTCATGGAATGACAACGTTCAGTTTTCACTGCCAAGACCTGGAGAGCTGCCAGCTCCATTGTGCGGCTTCAATGCGGCTCCTTCGAGGTCTTGAAGGGGGGCTTGAAGCGTTGCATCCAGTGCTCAAGTACCTTTTGATACTCTGCGACTCGCTTACAGCAAGCCATGCCCCAAGACGTCCGTCGATGGACCTTGAGACCTGGGCACCTAAGGCATGGTCAGAAGAGCCATCGTTACGACCACTTGATCATCTGTTCAGCTTTGACGCTCATGTCTATGAGGACACGGACAACGCAATATTTCTCCAGACCGAGCACGGCGAGGACAATGACGATATTCGGCATCTCTTGGAGCTGATTAATTGGCATCGCGAAGCATTGGCGGCAAATGAGTTGGCCTTCGCCCTTGCAGACACATCGGGCTCTCCGAACATCTCCGAATCTGTTGGCGAAGGCGGTCAGGACCGCGCCGATCCGATATATACATGGCTTTCGCTGCGTCAATACGCCTTGAGCTGCCTCTCGTCGCACAAGTATATGGACTTCCTGGAGTTGGAAGGCCACGAACCGCCGCTGCTGTCACAGATACGCTATGCTTTCCACTCTAGCATGGTGCTTGCCACCAGCTACATGTTCCAGTTCGTTATGCGCTACGGTATGAACTCTCCGAGCATGGCATACATTCCGTTCCATCACCTTCGCGCGAGGCTGGACTTGCTCATGGCACTTATGAGCCAGTATAGGCGTCTGCAAGTGCCAGAAGCAGGGAGGGTCCATGGTGGAAGAGGGCCAACTAATCCGGTTCCAACGGACGCCCTTTTGTTTCTCTTCTTCGCTGGCGCGGTCGTCGAGGAATCGGATGGTCCAAATCGAGTCCAAGCACCACACCATATCACGAGGGCTGGCGTGATCCCTTCACCTTCTGTTGAGCACCCAGGCGATATCATCAATGAACGTTGGTTCAGTGTGCATTTCGCCATGGTGCTGCAGCGATTGAATATCGAAGCTTGGGAAAACGTCAGACGGGTTTTGAAGAGGTTTGTTTATGTCGAGAGAATTTTGGATCGGTTTTTGCAGGTTCTTGTGACGAGGAAGCTCGAGTTTTTGGCGGCCCTGGTTGTAGGCGTACCGGATCATGTTCCTGCTGGTGGCTCTGGAGGCGCTGACACTGCTGGCTTTTTCGGATCACCGGGAGTGGCAGGGTCAGCACGGCATGGGACAAGTTCTTCGCAACGACAACCTCCACCATCCCGACAACCTTCCCTTCAGATGCCCACGCAACAACCAGCACTCCATCAGTCGACGGAAATGCCGATACCCATGACATTGCCTGGAGCACCCTCGAGTCCCAATCTCGAGGGAGGTCTTGGTTCCTTGCCACTGCTTGGGTCTGCGCCAGTCTCCCTCCCGGCCGACGTTCCCAACACAGCAGCTGATTGGTGGCAAGACATGGGGTACGACATGGGGGTCCCGGAAGACTTTTCAATGGATTTGGACATGCATTTGAGCATGGAAACGGGATTAGACGCGCTATCTGATGTGCAGATGCACAGTGAAGACTTGGGTAGGCCGGAGGAAATCCAGCCAGAGAAAAGACCCGAGCAAGATTGAGAGGAGGAAACTGGTGAATGGCACCGAGCTGAGATGACGCGTATTCGGAGAATCTTTTCGTCTCGACCAAGGAGTAAGAGGTCAGTCAAAGGCGGTCAGAGAAGGAAGCCTGGTTATCCGGATAGGGATGGTTTTCTGGTGGGTTCACGCGTGGTGGATTATGACAAGGCATGTATGTACTCGTTCCGGGCACAGAATAGTGGAGACGCCTCCAACAGGCTGAGACAATGTCCTGACCGGTACGCAGTTTTGTGCTGTGCTTGGTCCGCATCAATCTCAATCAATCTCGTTCAGATCGAAGGCTCAGATCGCACTGATTGTAATGGGAGAAACAGATGCGGCGGTGATGATCACGTGCAAGGCTTTGATCATGTGATGGGCACGTGCCTGCGCATGACGTTCCCATCCCCTCAACACCCCCTCTTCACCCTAAACTGCGCTCGTTGTCATCTCTAGTTCATTGATTCAAACACAGGTCAAATCAAGACTTTACCCCTTGCTCCGATCAGAAGCTTGGTTCTCCGTTAACGGCCCCGGCGGGTAATTCGGTGCGGGTGACGTTTTGGCACGCTTTCCCCGGGATTGACAAGTGTTGCTGTAGTCATTATTCACCGTGCCGAGTTCCGGGCAGGGTTTGATGCCATCCTTGACCAGAGTGGCGGCGACTGACACTCTTCTCCCAGGTCCTTTTGTGCTTTTCCACACTGACAAGGGTTTGACAATGCCGCGTTTCCTGAATGGCCCGTTATGCGCACACCGAACGGTCATTATGCGTAAAATCCGCCTTTTCTCCAGTGCTTCGATATGGGTTAAAATGGGTTATAACCCTCGGCTCTCTTTCTTCAACCCCTCATATTCCTGATGTTCCCTCTGTGCCGCGATTCCGTTTTAGTTTTTGGCTTTTTCTGCAGGACGATAAGGAGCGCAGACATCCCGGACCATGGACACTGACCTTAATAGAACATGGACAGCACCCGAGAATCGGCACAGACGACCCTCGCGTGCTTCTTTACGACGAGCTCGATCGACTCCAGGGGATGACTCTCAGCAGCTGTTTTCGCCTCAATTCATGGATGACCATGGTGCCCACCATTACCACGTCGCCGCGATGCCCGACGAGCATCGTATGGATCGGCGCGATGGTGTTGAGGGTCCAATGATCGAGGAGGATGCCATATCCGACACCAGCACCGCTGGGGAATCTCGGGAGGAAGTGAGGTTCGGCGTGGTCAATAGTCGCGATGTTGAAGCAGGACTTAATCTGCCAGAGTTGAAGACCGAGA